TGCATTTTTATTTGTGCTAGGATCAAACCCAGGGCCTTGTACACACAAAGCAAAAGCATTTAGTCTACCACCGAGCTACACACTATCAGTCCTTATTAATCTTTTTTTTTTTTGGTACCGGGGATCGAACTTGGGCCCTTGCGCTTGCGCAGCAGGCGGCAAAACCACTGAGCTAAATCCTCGGCCCTAGCCCTTAATCATTTTTAAGTGTACAGTTCAGCAACATGAAGTACATTCATGCTGTCATGCAACCATTGCCACCATTCATTTCCAGAACAATGGTTTGATTTGATTTGATGCTTGGGATTGAAACAGGGTCTCACAATGCTAAACATGCTCTGCCTCAAGTTTTACACATAGACTTTAAAGTATGATTTTCAGATTCTTCTTTTTCTATCTAAGGCACAAGGGAGCTATGTTGGTGTGGAGACAACTCTCTGGAAAGAAACAAGTGGAGGCACCAGGCAGCACTCACACACCTGTGTCTCCAAACCAGTGGAAGCGGCCACCAGTAGCCCGGGTGACCTCCCTGTAGGCACTGGCTGTGTCCGAGTGGCTGGCATAGCAGGCAGGAGGCATGCTGTCCATCCGCGGCTCGCCCACCGAGAAGAGACACACGTTCAGCTGGAGGTCGCAGCCCCCACAGCTCTCAGCCATGTAGGCACTGAGTGTGGGCTGTGGGGAAGAGAACATGGGTGGGCCCACACTGAGGACCTGGGGGCTGCCAGTCTCCTGTCAGTTCAGCCTCAATGATTTTCTCTCTCTCTCTCTCTCCTCCCCTCCCCCGCCCTTTTCTCCCTCCCCCTTTTCTGTACCAGAGATTGAATCCAGGGCCTTAACACTAACCTACGTCTGTAGCCCTCTAAACATTTTTTAAAAGAATTCAAGACAGGGTTTCACTAGTTGCCCAGGCTGGCTTTGAACCTGTGACCTTCCTGCCTCTCTCCCAGAGTGCTAGAATTACAGGTGTGCAGCACTAATAACTTTCTGGGAGCCCACTCTGTCCCTGGCCTAGTACTTGGCACTGAAGACAGAACGAGATGAGTCTGGGTCACAGTTTCTCTCATCAGCTTTTTTTTTTTGGTACAGGGATTGAACTTGGGACCTTGCGCTTGCGAGGCAGGTGCCAGAACCACCGAGCTAAATTCCCGGCCCTCTCTTATCATCTTAACAGGTATGACGAGGAGCTGGACCCAAGAGCTGGGTTTCTCCAAGAATGTCTGTGGTCAGGAACAGAGAGCTTGTCAGAAATGCAGCTTCTCGGTTTCCACCCAGGCCTGCTGGACCAGAGGCTACATGCTAACCAGATTCCCAGGTTTCCAGGCATGTTAATGTTTTAGTGGGGTTGGTTTAGAAAATCATGCTGGGCTGGAAATGTGGCTCAGTGGTGCAGCTTTTCCCTAGCAGGCACAAAGCCCTGGGTTCAATCACTAGCACCATGAAATAAAGAAGCAAACACATAAATAAATAGATGAGAATACAAAAATCGTGCTGGAGAAGTCACTTTGAGGCATCCAGCTAGGGGAAGGTGGACAGGGTGACAAAAGGTAACAGATGCCCAGGATGGCCAGGCCTACCCACCACATCCTGGTCAGGGATGCCTCCCGTGAGGAGGTAGATGCCCTGTGACCGGTGTCTATCTTTGTCTCTGAAGTCCACTTCCACAGCCTTCCGCAGGGCACCGAGGACATTCCTGCTGCCCTGACACTGCAGGCCCAGGGCCCACCTAGGGAGGAGGCAGTGCAGGTGAGGGTGAGAGAAGGGAGGCCACTGTCGAGGCCCGAGGCGAGGGCAGCAGACAGAAAGTTGTTTTCTGACTTCCGCCCATGGCTTTTGGAGGGTGGGGTCCCTGAGAGCTACTTTCTGTTGGAGACAAGGATGGAGAAGGCGGCAGCTGCCCTCACGCACAACGGCGCCCGGCCCCTGCCGTCACCCACCTCCAGGCTCTCTGTAAACTGTCGTGGCTCACAGGAACCATCTCAGGCCTCCAGCTCTCGATTGTGCTTCCAAACCTGCGAAGGAAGCACGGGATTGCTCACAGCAGTGTGTGCTCACTCTGCGGCCCAGCACTTGTTGGAGCAAAATTCTGACGACCCCCTCCACCCTGCTAAAAAAAACCTGAGGATGTCACTAGCCTGAGCCAACCGTGAGATTTTCCGGCTGGTCAGGATCTGTCCCGGCAAATTCCAGGCTGGGCAGAGCTGTGGCTCTCAGGTGACATGGCCCAGAGCAAGGACCAGCTTTGGTCAGCATCCTTCCTGACACTGTACGCTGACTGTAGCCAGCCGTGCATCCTACGGCGCACGGCCTAGGTGAATCCCCCGCCATGCGGGGTGTGTGGCCTGCACAAGTCTCCCTCCCTCTCACGCTCATATCCACACCGAAGACCTAATGGTCACCAAGTTCCCACCCTCTGTCGTGCCTCTCTCCGTGCCTCCTCTGCTCACGCTCTTCCCTCTCCCTGGAGTGCCCTTCCTCCTCCTGCACACCATCCTGAGGTGGGCACTGGCACTTTGGTCAGGCTAAAGGGGCACTTCCTCTCTGGAGTGTTCCTGGTCTTACTGAGCACAGGCAGATGGACTGATCCTGCCTTTGATACTCACTGTCCCATACCCTGCCTTCTACTTATTTCCACAGAAATCACTCTGTTGCACTTTTTCTTCTTCTTTTTTTTTTCGTATTGGGGATCGAACTCAGGACCTTGCACTTGCGAAGCAGGTGCGGTGCCACTGAGCTAAATCCCCAGACCTTATTTCTTCTTAATATATCTGGTTCCTATCTCTAGGACGTAAGTTCCCAGAAGACAGGTATCACGAGGACTTCTGAATGCCCAATGCCAGCACGATGATTGCTACATGGCAAGTTTTCAATGAAACTTTGTCACATGAATGGATGGGTAAATAAATGAATGAAAACATTAAAAATATTTCCCTAAGCATTTGTGCATATGTGTGGTGGTGGGTGGTGTGGTGTGTGTGTGTATTACTAGAGATTGAACCCAGGGCCTTCACACTGAGCCCAGTCTTTTTATTTTTGATTTTGAGACAGGACCTCAAAAGTCAGAAAGTTGCCCAGGCTAGGTTAAAACTTGTGATTCTCCTGCCTCAGCTTCCTAGAGTGCTGGAATTACAGGTATGCACCACCATGCCCGGCTCTCTAAGCATTTCTATATGAACTTACTAGGGAAAGATTAAGCTCTGGCATAATATCTAATAATAACTGATAACTTAATAGGCTCAGAATATGCCCTATTTGGTCAAAATCATGTAAAAATGTATGCTGTATTTCAAGTGGTTTCTTTTCTGTCTTCTTTAATTAGATAAAAAGATAGGCAAAAGAACTATAGATGTGAAATATATAATTACATGTACAATTTAAAAACTAATATATAACAAAAATTTAAGACATATATGTACATATACTTATATATACTATATATAACTTTTTAAACTATATATTATAATTTATATAACTTTTTCGTTATTGGAGATGGAACTCAGGACCTCGTGCTTGCCAGACAAGTGCTGTACCACTGAGCTACATCCTCAGCCCCAAATTCATATAATTGTAAAATTGTATATATTATATATGTAATTTTGAAACTATTGTTTGAAAAAGTATATACCCTAGGGCCGAGGATGTAGCTCGGTGGTTCTGCCACCTGCCTCACAAGCTCAAGGACCCGAGTTCGATCCCCAGTACCAAAAAAAAAATATATACCCTAGATAACATTTAAATTTATATATGTAGAATTCAAATTTAAGGGCTTAAAATATTGTGGCTCACTAGAACCAGGCAGAGGACTGAGACAGACATGGCTGGGCCCCTCCTTCTCTCCGTTGTTTGTAGGCTGGGAAGCCAAATGGGGCAATGGGCTGAATTACTTTATCCTGGCTGATCAAGCAGTGAGTGTATTTTGGGGCTGCTTCTCACCTTCGCCCCAGTGGGACAGACCTACAACCATTTAATTATTCAACGCCCCTAAGGAGATGGCCCAAATCAGATAACCCTGTGGACATCCTGGGATGCTGGGTGCGCACAGCATCAGAAGCCTGTCCCAGCGGGGCCTTGGACGCCCACAGACCCCCACCCGCCACACCCCTCTGTGGGGAAACCTACGCGACCAGGTTGAAGAGGTCCTTGTTGGATAGCTGCTCCTCCAGCAGCAGCCGCAGGGAGTGCTGGATATGAATAATGAACATGGAATTGGTCACAGAGATATCGAGCAGGACAACCACCCTGAAAAGAAACACAAGCTTCAAGAGGAGAACCGAATCTCTCAGATAATGTTTATTTTGTTCCATTTTACTATTTAAAGTATTTTCCAGGGAGATTTTGCAGGCCAAATGCATGGCCAGCCAAAATCTTCTCCATGGTTTGAGGCCAAAAGAGGTGGGTTTACAATGGTGGACCAAGGGGGCTGTGCAGCCTTCTCTCCCGGGGTTCATAATGGAAGGAAGTCTCTCTCGGTAGAGATAGGTGAAGGGTCTGGGATTGCATATAATGATTTTTATAAATGTATTTGATTTAAAGAACAAGCATTCGATGTTTTTATAGGCCAGGGTGTTTGCAGGGAAAACAGAAACAGGGTGAGCTAGTAAGATGAATTAGGGCTATCTGGGCCTCTTGGGAAATACCTCTTTTTGTTTGCACTCTATTTTAAGATCTCTAGCCCCTTCCTGTCTTCCTCGGCTTTTACTATTTCACACCTTATATTTCTACTTCTTCCTCTCGATTCTCATTTTGAGACAGCTGTGGATAACAAAAGAAAATCCACTGGGTTTAGAGTCAGAAGACCTTTGTCCATTTCCTACCAGCTGTGAGGCTTTAGGCAAGTCAAAGCCTCTCTGATCTTTGTTATGGTACCAAACTGTAAGTCTCCTTATAGGGTTGCTTAAGAATTAAATTATATAACAGATGTATTACAAAGTATAATATTCTGTAAATAGCAACGCACCACATAAAGTATGGAATGATAATTATGGCTATATTTGGATACATATTGTCTCGCCCTACTCAGCATCCATTTCCTCTTCTGGAAACACTTCTTCTATCAGTCCATCCGAGGTGGGTGAAGATGACTCCTCTCCAAGCTTCGTCCTCCCTGGCCAGAGTAAATGGCCCATGGGTGGGTGGTGCCCATGCACTGGGTGTGCTAAGCTGGTAGAAGCAAATCTGGAGCTTTGGACAGCTTTCTGGCCACCTGGCGGGGAACACCTTCCCACAAACAAAGCCCAAAGCTCAGAGACAGCAGGCAGGGCTAAGAGAGATTCCTGACATGGGGGAACCTCTGGATCCAGTCATGCCTGCAGACAGCTATCAGAAGTTACCTCTTTTCGCAGATGGTGCCCCAGATCCTTCTGCTGGCCAGGGAGAGCCACTCGACCCGCCTCTCATACATCTGCATGGCTCTGCTGAGCTGCTTCTGTGAAAGCAAGGGCCCCATGAGACCCGCAAAGGTGGGCAATTAAGAGATCCGGGAAGGGAGGGCACGCTACACTCCACTGGCTCTGGAAATGGTGCGCTGAGTCTCTGGGTATCCAGGTGGTATAAACATTCTACCAAGTCATGTGAAAGTCTTCCACAAGAGTAGGACTGGAAGAACTGAAATACGGTGGACCCTTGACTTATGAACTCCATTGGTTCCCAATGGTTTGGTTGTAACTCAGTCAATACAGCTGAGATCTGAATGTTTACCTGGGTACACACTATAGATAACAAGGGGGAGATGACTCTTCCATTAACCTAATTATCCCAAGTTGTTCGTATGTCAAGCCAGTCATAACTCGAGGGTCCACTGTATTTCACTGTGTCAAATGGGGGAGGAAGTAGATGTTGCTCCTCAAGATTAGAGACTCTTGTTTGGGGCACCCAGGTCCCCGCTTGGGGCAGTGTCTGTAGGTGAAGCACATAGTCAGTCTCTCTTTACCTCCTGAAAAGTTAAATCAATGGTTTGGTATCTTCACAGCCCATGACATCTTCCTGCACCCCGTATGTTTTGGGTTTTTGAGACAGGTTCTTGCGATACAGTTCTTGAACTCACTATGTAGCCCAGGCTGGCCTCGAACTCACAGCAATCCCTCTGCCTCAGTCTCCTGAGTGCTGGGATCACAGGCGTGAGCCACCACACCCTGTGGTGCACCACATATTCAGAATGTAGGACTCATCTCTGACCTGGTATTCAGAGAGGAAGGGTGGATCCACGTGGACGTTCTTCACTGTCCCGTCGTGCCATTCAAACTGTACCATTGCCTTCTGCACTCAGGGGGCAGGAGTGGGGGGCAGGTGAAGACAAGGACATGTGAGAAAGAATTTTAATTTGGGTATTGGACTCTAAACAAATCAAAATAGGCAGGAAAATAGATGCTGAGCCCATCTGGGCTGGATTACGCTAGCTACTCGAACGCATACCAACCCAATGGCAACAGGCCATTGTCTGATCAGGGGCTGGTATCATGATCACAGCCCGGCGTCCCTAGGAAGGTTATTCTGAGCCACCAGGACATTATGGGAGGGTCTGGGTAACAAAGAACAGGGCCAGAGGTCTTAAAACATAACGGCCATGGTCTCTTGGGTTTGGAGGCCAGATAGGCCTTCATGGACAGTGACGGCCGCATCTGTTCACCCTGTTCTTTCATGATGGAGGCATCGAGCCATCATCTCTCTCCCTCTATTCACCCAGACATTTCATTCATCCATCCACTGCCAGAACCATACATCTCCGACTCCTCTCTCTTTCCCTTCAGTCTTCCACCTTTCCACTAATCTGTTTACTTACTATTCCTTCCTTCCACTTTTCCATCCTTCCATACTTAATTTTTACTTTCATCCTTTTGTCCCTTATTACATCTTGTTGTCCATTGCTATTTTCCCCTTCCATCTTCCCACCTCTTTACATTTCTAACCATCTGTCCGTCTCCATTCACCCACCTACCTATATAGTTCCATTCATTCATCAACATTTCCATCCATCATTCTTTTCCTCCTTCTTTCTCTTCTTCTTTCCTTCCTCTACTCACCCATGAAGCCATGCAGTAAGCTTCCCTTAATTGCATACTTGTAATAAACATGTGAGATACCGAGTTGGAGAGAAGAGTCTTTTCTCTTAAAGAGTTCATACTATGCACTTGCATACTCTAGGAGCAATTGTAGAAGTCTGAACATGGTACAGAGAGATCACAAAAGATAGCAAGTCTGCCCTGTCTGAGTGGGGTGGAGGAAAACCGTACAAGGGAGGTGACTGTGGTACCTAACGTATTCCATCTTGCCCCTTCTCCCGAGTTTCATTTTCGTGTATTTGAAAATCAAGTTACAGATTTATTCTTATTATCTGGGGTTAGGGGCTGAACCCAGGCCCCATGCGTACTAGACACATCCTTGAGCACAGGGTTGCACTGGCCCTCTGCTGCAGTAGATTTGATGAGCATTCTAGCATCCCGGGTGTGAAACTCTCACTGCATGAACTTATAAGCAGATGGGAACTGCCACGGGGAGCAGCCCTCAGAGGGCTCCAGAGAGCTCGAAGTCTGAATTACCTCATGGATAGTTGACGATACTTTTTTCTGGAGAATAGGCACAAATTCTTCTACAGGAGAGAACACATTCGGTGCCAGAACCCGGTAAAGGCTTAATTTCTTGGCTGAAAAAAATAGTGGGGTTTGAGGTGCTGCCCAGAAAGTCCTCAAGGGTCTAAGCCTTTTAGTCACGTGTGCCCTGGCTTCTGATCTCTTTGGAGATTTACCTTTTAGACCATTGATCTTTAGCCATTCTGCAGAAGTCTTTTCCAGGTTTGGGAACTCAACAATGAGAGGAGCGTCATGCTTTGGGGCTTTAGGCAAGAGAGCTGTGAGCGACCCTTTCGTGTACCCTGTGGCAGCCTAAATGAAATTAGAAAATTTAAATTGCATAATCATTTTGCAGCTGGAAAGCTTTAATCTCCCCCACTTGCCCAGTCCTCTAGGGGAGCCCCTGAAAACATTACCTGGAGCACTGAAGGCAGTTCTGCCTTCCCTTCCAGCTTCCTCACTCCCTCCTCTGGAGATTTCTGGAATTCCCAGGAGCAGGGAGCTGCCCCCAGTAACTAGTGTCCTCTTTCGCTGGCCCCCTCTCTTGACTGCCTCCCTATCCTGACCACGGACTCCAAGATAACAGTGTCCCTCTGGGGCTAAGGGCTTCAGGAAGCTAAAAAATGATTTCTACACCAAATCACTTAGGGAGTCCTGAGTTAGCCCAGTCCCTCCTCATCCTCAGTTAGGAAGTGAGAAGCTGAGGCTCTGAGAGGTTAAATCACAGCCAGTATGGAAGCAGCACAGAGAAAGGCAGTCCCCAAACCTCAAACAACCGGCACCACCTACTTCCTGCATCATGCGGGCCAGCTCCTCACAGGGGCTGCTCTGGCGCAAAGCTTGCACGCGGTTGAGCAGGCTCTGGGCTTTCTGAATTTCTCCCAGCAGCTCATCCACGTCCCGACTGGTGTAGAGCTGGGGATGATGGGAGTCATCAGCCATCCAGAAGTCACTTGGCTACCAGCAGTGGCCAAGGCAGGGAAGGACAAGCAGTCAAGTCAGCTCCCAAAGCTGAGGGGTGATGCGTTTAAACCAGAGATGCCAAACTGGGGTCCGCGGGCCAGATACAGCCTGTGCCATGTCACTGTACTGGCCTGCAGCGTTTTTAACAACTGAAGGGTTTTCTAACTTTAAAATTGTGAAGGAAGTCTGGAAAGGTGGTGCACACCTGTGATCCCAGCACTCTGAGGGGCTAAGGCAGGAGGGTCACAACTTTGAGCCCAGCCTGGGCAACTCAGTGACTTAGTGAGACCTTGCTTCCCAAAAAACAAAAAAGGGGGAGCTACAGAGACCCTAGGTTCAATTTCCAGTACTGAAAAAGAGAAGAAGAAAGAAAGGAAGAAAGTGGGGCCGGGAGTTTAGCTCAGTCGCGTCGTGCCTGCCCTGCAAGGGGAAGGTTCTGAGTTCGATCCTCAGTACCAAAAAACAAAAAATGAAAGGAAGAAAGATGGAAAGAAAGAAAGAAAGGAAGGAAAGAAGGAAGAGAAAAGGGAAGGAACATCCCACACCCACTAGGATGGCTATAAAGATAATAATAATCACAAACAAAAAGTAACAAATGTTGGTGAGGAAGTAGAGAATTGGAACACTTGTCCAGTGCCGGTGGAAATGTAAGATGGTACAGCTGTTTTGGAAATAGTTTGCAGTTTCTCAAAGCATTAAACACAGAATTACCATGAGAGCCAGCAACTCCCCTTTTGTTATATACCTCAGATAACAAAAGTGGGGGCTCAGACCCTTGTCCACCCATGTTCACAGCAGCAGTATTCGTAGTAGCCCAAAAGGTGGAAACAATCCACAGGTTCATCAAAAGGTGAATGGATACTGGGCTTGGAGGTGCATTCCTGTAATTTCAGCACTCTGGGGGACTGAGGCAGGAGGATTCCAAGTTCATGCCCAATCTGGGCAACTTAGTGAGACCCTTTCTAAGAAAATATAAAATAGGCTGGGGAGGGGCCGGGAATTTAGCTCAGTGGTTCCACTGCCTGCCTCGCAGGCTCAAGGTCCTGAGTTCGATTCCCAGTACCAAAAAAATAAAAAAAAAAAAAGAATGGATAAACAAAATGTGGCTTTGAAGTACTGACATCTGCTGCAACACGAATGAACTTTGAAAACTTCATGCTAAATGAAGAAGCCAGACACAAAAGGTGCAGGTCTCGACATATATGAAATGTCCGGAACAGGTAAATCCGCAGAGACAGGGAACGGGTTGGTAGATTGCCAGGAGAGGGCTCGGGGTGACGAGAATGTTTTGGAACTAGAGTGATGGTAGACGCACAACACTGTGAATGTGCCAAACACCAGTGGGCTGTTTAAAGTGATTCACTTCATTTTATGCAAGTTTCACCTCAATTTTTTGAAAGTAGAAACTGATCCATATTTCTGACTCTTTGAAAGATCACCAGACACGGTAATGCTGGGGTCATATTCACACGGAGCAGCATGGGGCTGGGGCTGGGCAGAGGCCACCTCTGTAGGTGGGGTGCGCGCTCTGCTTTGTCATGGGCCTCACCTCTACAGTCTTGTGATTTTCATCACCCTTGCACCGTTCTGCTCCACTTCAAGACAATGGTATTTTTTTTTACTCATCTCTGCATCAAGAGAATGACATCAATAGATAACAGATAAGACCCATAAGCTTTAAGATAAAGCACTCATTTTTTGCTGTTGTTTTTGTTGTTTGTTTATTTGGACAGTGTCTTGCTCTATAGTCCAGGTAGCCCAGACTGGCCTCAAACTCAAAGCAGTCCTCCTGCCTCAGGCTCCCAAGTGCTGGGATCATAGGCAGGCGCCACTACACCCGGGAAGATCAAGTCTGTCTTAAACCAGCCAGTTTCTTTCCTTTCCTTTTTTAGCCCCCAGGGCCCATGACACTCACACAGTCTAGGCAATGAGGCTCTGAGAAAAGGATATTGCCCGCTCTTGATTTCCTGATGCGAAAAGTCACACTGCGATATCTGAACACACTAGGGAGATGCAAGCACTCACTTCCTCGTGGTTATCAGCGGGCACAGCCCGTTAGCTGACCGGTAATTGGATCCTTAATTTGCCAGATGACTCTATACACGTTTGCTGTTAACTTCCATGATGAATATGCAGCAGGTGATTTTCAGGGCACTAACGGATGGGCGGGACAGAGCTGGTGCCTCATATGGCCCCACTGTGTGTTCCTTGCAGTAGCAGGGGTCAGTTAGGGAGAGAGAATCTAGGCCGTTGTTTTAGACTTGGGGCTGTGGTGGCAACACAGGCAGCCCAGGCTGTATTAATGCCAGCTGGGAGCTTCTGCAGCCAAGCTTGGAAGGGCCTCTAGATTCATAAGCCTTTGATGAACTTGGCACATGTGCTGACCAAAGGAGCGCTTGTGATTTTGCATGGTCCCCCTTCTTCCTTTGTGCTCCTTTTTTTTTCTTTGGTACCAGGGATCGAACTTGGGACCTTGCGCTTGCAAGGCAGGCGGTGGAACCACTGAGCTAAATCCCCAGCCCATTTGTACTCCTTTTAACATGATTTCACCTATGTAAACTCACTGGCCCAGATACCCTGGCACACCTGTGGAGGGCAGTGTGTTGGCAGCAGGCTTACCTCTGTCTCTGGGCTGTAGCAGTGGTAGCGCCCCCCGAGTGCTTCTGCAAGGTTCTTCAGGACAGCCTGCAGGGAGAACGACAGGGTCATTGCTCACTCGATCCACACCAATACTCACAAGCCTGGTCCTTCACTAAGCCTTCCAACTCTCCAATGCTTCCTGTTTCGCCAGTGGGAGAAGTGGGTACAGAAGCACTTGGTCACAGCATGGGCATCCTGGCCAGGCCTGGAGCCTTAAGGGCTGAATCAGATCACTGTCCCCAAATCCCTCGGCGCTTTGGAGCATCAGGTACTCACGGCGGGCACCTGATCATCACATTTGTAGGTGACGAGGTGGATGGCGAAGCTGCTTCCCACGGTGGACTGCTGAACATAGTCAGACAGAATTTCAGGAGGCTGGTCTGGGCTGGGGGGTGGCGGGGGACAGCAGAAGAGAGGTGGGCCAGTCAGGTCCGCACGTTGAAAACACTGAAGACCAAAGCGGTAATTCCCAGGGAACATCTCCTCCTTTTTTTCTCCTGAGCAGATACTCTGCTTTGAACCCAGGGCCCTTCCACTGAGCTACATCCCCAGCCCTTTTGAGTTTTAGTTTGTTAAATTGCCCAGGCTAGGCTCAAATACGGGATCTTCCCACTTGCACCTCACAGGATGCTGGGGTTGCAGATATGTGCCACCACATGCAGCCATCTACTCATTCTTTTTTCCTTTTTATTCTTTTGAGACAGGGTCTCACCACACAGTTCAGGCTGGCCTCGAATTCACGGCAATCCTCCTGCTCCTCAGCCTCCCGAGTGCTGAGAATCCAGATGCGCGCCACCACACCTGGCTTCAACTACTCATTTTTAATCAACTGCTTCTATCTCAAGCCACCTGGGTAAGATGCAGGGTTAGCTAGCCAGGAACAGTGACACACGCCTGTGATCCCAGCACTTAGAGCCTGAGGCAAGAAAATGGAGGCCAATTCAAGGCCAGCCTGGGCTATATTGTGAGTTCGAAGCCAGCCTGAACTATGTGGGGAGAACCTGTCTCAAAACACAAAACAAAACAACGCGGAGCTGGTTGGACGGCAGGCCTGGCAGGCCCAGGTTACTCTGTCCCATGTGTGGACGGGCAGCCAGTGAATACTTCAAGCATTTGTGAAGAGTCATGCTTGGTGATCTTTTCTCAAACAATGCTTTAGTTCTTCAACTCTTTCCATGAAATCTGTTACCCACTTAGGAAAGCAGACCTACCAGCTTCTCATTATAGTCACCAGGGAATTCAGGCCTTGTAGTGTGAAGACTTTCTTCAGGGCTTGTAGTAAATTGCTGCCTCCTTCAGGCTGCAGTTCCTTTACCCAGAGTTTGAGTTCCTGCAGACTAGAAGGAGACAATAACAGCAACGTAATCTGAGTCACGCGCTGATTAACAGCCAGAACATGTTCTGAGAAACACCTTTCAGCAATTTTAGTATTGGGTGAACATCATGGAGTGCACTTACACAAACCTAGGCAGTATAGCCTACTACAGACCTGAACTCTATCGTGCCTATTCGTAGGGTGGCCTATTGTTTACAAAACAACAGTAAATTAAATCAAGTTTGAGCAATCTCTCAAGAGATGAGGCTGCCACTGCTGCTGTAACCCTGTCTTACTGTTTACAGCAAACTTCTTTTCAGATAAGTGGAAGGAGTATTCTCTACAATATCAACAAAAAGCATAATACAGGGGTGAGTGGTGTAGCTTGGTGGTAGACCGCTTGCTTAGCATGTGTGAAGCCCTGAGTTCTATTTCCAGCACCTGAAAAAAAATGTAGCATAGTAAATACATGAACCAGTAAGATAATTTATTGTCAGATGGATGCAGTGGCACACACCTGTAATCTCAGTACTCTGGGTGGGCAACTTAGTTAGACCCTGTCTCAAAATAAAAAATTTTAGGGGCCAGGGATTTAGCTCAGTGGTTCTGCCTCCTGCCTCGAAAGCGTAAGGGCCTGAGTTCGATCCCTCGTACCAAAAAATAAATTAAAAAAAAATAAAATTTTTTTTAAAAGGATGAGGACATAGCTCAATGTAAAAGTCCTGGATTCAATTCCAATACCACTAAAAAATTATTTTCATTACCAAGTATTATGTGCTATACAGAATTGTACATGCCCTACTTATATCCAACTGGCAGTATAGTAGGTTTGTCTACCTCAGCATTAACACAAACATATGAGTAATGGTGTTGTACTCCGATGTTACTATAGCTACGCTATCACTAGGTGACAAGAAGCTTTCAGCACCCTTATGCTCTTATGGGGTCACATCAGATATGTGGCCCACTGTTCAACAAAATATTATACAGCCTAGGGCTGTACAGGACTCTTTCTAGGCGTCAGGACCATGGACAAATGTTAGCTCATTTCAGCCTAATCATACTCTTTGAGGTAGGTACTTTTATTCCCATTTTGTATACGAGGAAATTGAGACTCAAGGTTGGGACTTACCCTAGGTGATACAGTAAGAGATTAATAAAACCAAGATTTCAAAGCAGGACTGACTCTAGAGTCCGTGCTTCAGGTCCTTTGGTGTTTGAGAGTCTGGGGGTGAGGGCCTTCTTCCCATCATGCCCTACAACTCTCCCAGGAAGCCGACCTTAGCAAGAAGTGTGGAATTAGCCCCTGGCTCTGAGTCGGCTCCAACAGAAGGCACCATGGCTGTGTGGCTATGTCCCATGTGAGCTGGGACACACACCACTGGTAAGAGGAAAAATGGTTAAATGCCTCACATGGCACTAGTGGAATAGTTCTGCTCTTCCCATGTCTCTTTCAGCCTGAGAAAAAGAAAACCTCGGGCTGAGAATGTAGCTCAGTGGTAGAGTGCTTGCCTAGTATGCACGAGGCCCTGGGTTCTATCCCTAGCCATGCAAAAAGGAAAAGAAAAAGAAAATCTCAGGTTGGTGCAAATAAGTCTGTCTTTTATTATTACATGTTAAGTTGCCTTTTCATAAATTCCACAACCCCACAGTGCCACAGATGGAGCCCAGAGCCCTGTACTGTGGAGCTGTACTCCCTGCCCGAGTGTCCCCTGAACAGAGAAAAATCCCCAGACCTAGCTAGTGCCTTCTCTATCAGTAGGTTCCCAGCTGGAATTGCTAGCATTGTTTTGGTTTCATTGTATTTATTGTTATGGCTACTTTCTAATTATGGCAAGTGGATATGGGCTTCTCAGTTATGGTATGGATAAAAAATCTCCTTCAATAATAAAGTTGATCTAAAGAAAAATTCCTAATAGTGCAGGTGGCACAGTGTAAATAATAGTAACATGACTGAGATAAGGCATAGTAATTCAAGGGGAGCCCAGGAATGACTACAGCTGGGAGCTGCGGGCTGATATTCTCAAAGTGACTCCAAGGTCTAACACCCTAGAGATGGAGAAATTGAGTAAGAGGTACTCTCTTGCTGAGTACCTGTATTGTGCCAGAGACTTATCGTTCATTTCATCCTGACAGCAGGGATCGCTGGCTTCCTTCTGCAAACAAGAGTGTTAAAGGACGTGTGGGGACCAGCCATGACTGTCAGAGGGAAGCAAGCCAGGGCTGCCAGCACTGATAGTCTCTCTGTGTGAAAGGGCTGCTTTGCACAGGTAGTGCTAGCAATCTAAGCTCAGGAATTTAAGCTTGCAGTTTTTCCTGGGATCTGCTCTGAGCTTGTGGTCCAATTCAAGCTCTCTTACTTTGGGTATATTCCCTAAATCCAAGTTTCCTCATCTGCAAAATGGGGATTATAATCCCATTCCATGTGGTGGCCATAAACATTAAATCAATCATACATGGTACCCAACTCATGATGGAATTCTCTTATAAAAAAAGAAAATTTGGGGCCAGGGATTTAGCTCAGTGGTTCTGGCGCCTGCCTTGCAAGCGCAAGGTCCCAAGTTCGATCCCTGCCACCAAAAAAAAAAAAAAGAAAGAAAGAAAGAAAATTTTATACACTGGGACAAGTAAGAATTCTTACATACCTCTGTCCCATACCACAAACCCCCCAAAAGTAGAATCCCCCAAATAAAGGGCATCACTGCAGTGAATTACTATGTCAGCCATCGCAGGTGAGGCAGAACTGTGTCACTGATCGGGACCGACAGTCAAGACTGAGTGGAAAAGCCAGAGTGCAGAATGGTGCTACATGCTACTGCCTGTGTTTAAATCAGAGTACTGTGGAAAGACAGACGCACGCATGTGCAGACTGTGGAAACAGAGATAAGAAACTATACTTGGTGGCCAAGTACAGGGGGGTGTGCCTGTAGTTCCAGCTCCCTGGGAGGCTGAGGTGGGGACACTGCTTGATCCCATGAGTTTGAGACCAGCTTGGGCAACATAAGAGTCCTATCTCAAACTAAACTAAACTAAACTAATCCCAGCACTTGGGAGGCTGAGGCAGGAGGATTGCCATGAGTTTGAGGCCATCCAGAGGTACATAGTGAGTTCAAGGCCAGCCTGGACCTCATAGTGAAACCCTTCTCAAAAAAACAAAACAAAACACAAATAATAATAAAATAAAATAAACCTCAAGCCAGCAGGGTTGGATACCACTTGTAAACTAAATTAAACTAGGAGGTGAAAGGGAGACTGGAGTGAGAGAGAATGAGTCATTCACTATTATTTATCCTTTCATACTGTTTGAATTTTAAAAACATTATTTTCATAATAAACCATCTTTGCTAGTTTGCTGGATAAAAATGGTGTCTTATCTTTCATTTAGTGAACTGCTCTTGGGGTGAATATCTGTCCAAAAATTACTGGCTGCCTGTGTTTCTGCTTTTGTGCATTGTCACTTTGTAGTCATTTATCTAGTGGGGTCCTGGGTTTTCACCTCAAACATTGAATAAAGACACTGACTTAGGGAGGAAAATGAAGAAGTAAACATCCTGGAGGAGGCCGGGCAGCCACTCACCTGGAGGTCCTGACTTCCACAGGGTCTGGCCAGAGGTGCCTGGTGGCGGTGCCGAAGGACACGACATACAGCTTCTCCTTGAGGCTCAGCTGCTCGGCAACCAGGCTCTGCCAGACGAAAGGGTCCTATGTGTGAAATGAGCACCGGGAGGGGCCGTAGCTGGACCTAACTGAGGTGCGGCGAGGAAGGCCAGAGTCAGGAACAGTGGTTTCTCTCCAAGCCATGAGAGTCAGGGAGGGAGAAGTGACCACAGCATCAGTGCTTTCCATACACTGAGCTGCAGCTGCTGAGAGAAATCCAGCGGGAGCAGTAACTCTGGCCAGTTCCCTGGCCAGCTAGAAATGTCACCTGCCTGCCACCAGCAAGTCTTCCCCTGGCAGGTGTTGGACCCCCCCCCCCCGCCACCTGGGGAACCTTTGGAGACTCAGCCCCGAGAACTTGGCACAAGGAAGCCTGCACCGACCCTGTCCCCTGACCCTCAGTGAGACCCGAGCAGAGGAAAAGCTGGATGGCTGCTCACATCCGAGCCTGCAAAGGTTCTATTGGACCTTTGTGAAATCTATGCCGCTATGGTCCCATCCAAAACCCTAGGGATCTCCATAAAAAAATACCCCGTCCACATCACTTCACAGAGATGACAGAGGTTCCTCTCTGGGGTGTACTTGGTGCTGAGCATTTTATTCCCACAAACTCTGCATCCTGAGGGGAGCCATGTGAGCCGGCCATGGTTCTCCTCTCCATCTACTGAGGAAGTAACTAATGCACAGAGATTTGGTTCCACAGCCCAGAGGTGGAGTAGGGGCTGGGGTCTGACTCCAGAGCTCTGAGCTTTTCTATTATGGATGTGCAAAGAAAGCGGAACGGATCCTCATTCAGAAATGGCCAGGAGCCCTGCAGCATGCGGTGCTGGAGTAGCACCAGCTGCACACGGTTCCTGCATCCTCTCCCCAGGGAAGCCAGGGCCTCTCGAGATGGAACCTAGCTGAGAGGTGCTGCTGTGGTGAGAACACTAGAAGTTCATACTGCACCCCCAAATGACTCCGTGTGCGCGCGCGCGCGTGTGTCAGTGTTTCCACAGAATCCCACATATTCCTCTCACTGCAGGTGCTAATTAAGTGTGAACAATTCTTTATAAAGCACCGCATTTTGCATCTGCTGTAAACAAAGCCAGTTAGCAAATGCAGGAGTGGACACTTTTTGTGCCCAGGTGACTTACCATGAAGTCATTTTGGAACTCTTCCATCCCAGGGCCACTGCCGACCACGGACGCATCAATGAGGATGGCCACTCTAGTCCCCCGGATGAGGCCAAAGGCCTAAAATCAAAGAGGACCTCTGGAAACACCCAGGCCCCGCAGAGCAGCTCTGCGCGATGCAGGTGTGGCCAGTCCCCCACCTCAACAGGAAAAGGCGGAAGCCCCGTTTTATAAAGGAAAAAGCAAAACTCAGTGCCCTGACTCCTGCTCTGGGTGTTTCTATTCCAGGTCACAGCAGCCTATTCTTGAAAAGTTCTTTTTCCTTAGTAATTTTGGCTCACTTTCATAAAGTAATGCATGCCTATTACAGAAACCCTGGAGACTGTAGAAAACATCCCTTGTAAGATGTGAAGTGTAATATCTAATTACATCAGTTTATCTCATTTAGTTTCTCTGTATCCTTGTTTATGTTTTGCCTACTCTACCAAAGGTAGCTCTATTAAGTATAACAGCTGCCGTGGTATTTCTGTGAGTTTTTAATGATATTTTTAACAGTGATCCTATCCACATGTCCCTGCTGTTGGCTTTGGTATGTGTTTATCTCATTAGAATCGCTTGTGTATTGGAACTTTATTCATGTAAAATCAATAGTTCTCTAGGGGTAGCACTCAATGTTCTTGGCCTTTTATCCTACTGTATTGCATGCCTAATTTTCTCTTCAATTCATGTTTCTATACTCAGAAATAACTATTTTACATTTCTCTCACATTTCCAGCCATTCTCTTTCTGCCTTCTCTTAGCAAGTGAACATTTACTTCCTAGTTCCCCGATATCTGTTGTTCATTTTGTACTTCAGACATTTCTAGCTAAATGGATGCACCTTGAGACCATACTCTCAAGTGAAATAAATCAGATACACGTGTTTAGATACCACATTGTTTCTCTGGTGTGAGAAACCAAAGCGAAAGGACTAGAATATACAGTACAGTCTTTGAAGAAAGATTTTTTTTTTGGTACCAGGGATTGAACTTGGGACCTTCTGCTTGCGAGGGAGACGGTGGAACCACTGAGCTAAATCCTCGGCCCCCTTTTTTTTTTTTTTTTGTACCAGGGATCGAACTCGGGTCCTTGCCCTTTGGAGGCAGGCATCGGAACCACTGAGCTAAATCCTCTGCCCAAATCATTTTTAAAAATAAGTTCACGGGCCAGGGATTTAGCCCAGTGGTTTTGACTAATAGGACATAAGAGTCTTATATTTCTTTTTTCTTTTTTTTCTTTTTTTTTTTTTTTTTGTACCAGGGATCGAACTCGGGTCCTTGCCCTTTGGAGGCAGGCATCGGAACCACTGAGCTAAATCCTCTGCCCAAAACATTTTTAAAAATAAGTTCACGGGCCAGGGATTTAGCCCAGTGGTTTTGCCGCCTGCTGCACAAGCACAAGGACCCCAGTTCAATCCCTGGTACCAAAAAAAAAAAGTTCTCTTCAGATTGTTTCTGTTCCCTCAATGAAACTGGAGGCAAAAATCACTTGCTAAGAGAAGGCAGAAAGAGAATGCTTTATTTATGTAGGTTAAGAGCAGGCCAAAGGGGTTTTTTTTTGTTGGTTTGTTTCTTTTGGTTTTGCTTTGCTTTGCTTTGAGCATGGTGCTGGGGATTGAACCCGGGGCACTCTACCACTAAGTACCCTTTTTTAAAAAATTGTGAGACAGGGTCTCACTAAGTCAATAAATTGCCCAGGGTGGCCTCGAACTTCCTATTCTTCTGCCTTGGCCTCTTAAGTAGCTAGGATTACAGGTCTGCACCACCACACCTGGGTCACAACAGGAAGGGTTCTAATCATTACAGACAGAATGAGTGAAAGGGGCGAAGAACAAAATCCATGCCTGTTACCTTCTTGCTGTTTTCTGTGAGCCACTGAATTCTCTGTTGATAGAGTTCAATAACTCTGTCAAGACACCAGAAAGACTTCATCACTAAGTAGCAGAGACTCACACACACGGAAGGGTGGATGGGATTTTTTCAATATTATCTAAGGTTTTCGGAAAATATAAGGCAAAATCTACATAGAAAACTAACCACTGTCCAGATATGAGTTAGGACACCAGATAAAGTGCCAAGGACACTGTGAAGGGGACTGAGTGCAGATGCTGCTCTGCTGGTGATGTGCTGATTGTCATCGATGACCAGGGTTTGGCGGGGCCAGGGTGAGTTGCAAAGTGAGGGCAGGTATGGCAGGCTGGGGAGCGCATGCGCAGGAGGAGGGTAAGAGGACCCTCGTGCATTTGCTTAAATCTGTCTGCTCAGGTGAAACTGTCCCTTGTCTCCTGGAGACTGAGCACAAAGACATGCAGAGACTGTTCAGCAGTAGTTTCTGGCTGGATTGATAAATAAAAATATTAATGTCTGAAAAATAGCCAGATAACATCTTGAACTACCCTTATTGCAGTGCAAACAAACCATTCCAATGAATGGGTGGGACACCAGAACATGATGAGTGCTCAAGGTAAGGTCCCAGTCACTGGAATTTTCTTTTTTTTGTACTGGGGATCGAACTCGGGTCCTTGTGCTTGTGCAATTGGCAAAACTACTGAGCTAAATCCCCAGCCCCCCAGTCACTGGAATTTAACTGACCTGTCCTTTCTGAGGGCTGACAGGATTTGGGGGCCTAGAGAAGAGCAACAAAGGCCTATAGATGTAAAATCATGAGGCTCGGAGTGATGGGTAGAGTATAAGGGATGTATGAGCATGAATATAGAGCTAAGAAGATGCACTTCATAATGGGACATGGTTGTGTTCAAGATCCACTTCTGCCATGTATTAGCTTTGCACCTTCAGCAAGTGTACTAACCTCTCCGAGTCCCAGCATTTCATCTTCAACCAAAAGATAGTAACAAGACTCTATCCAAGTCAATTTGTCAAAAGTCAATTTACTGAAAGCCAAGTCTCAAAATCAGCCTGTCAAATGACCAACTAGCTGAATAGACTTGCATATTCCTTAAAATGCTGGATTCATGATTAAAGCCAAACAACTAAAATATTGCAGAATTCTTTAAAGCATGTTTAACCTTTCAACATAGTAAAAATTATTATAAAATTTATGGTTAAATATAAAATTTACAGCTAAAGTATTTTGGTAAATTTGGCAAATTGAGCTGGGTGTAAGGGTGCACACCTAATCTCAGAACTCTGGGAGTCTAAAATAGGAGAATCACCAGTTTGAACCCAGCCTGCGTGACTTAGGAAGAACCTGTCTCAAAATCTCAAAAAGGGCTGGGGATGTAGATCAGTGTGAAGTCCTGGGTTCAATTCCTAATAATAAATAAATAAATTGGTCAGTCAGTCTGTGAATAATTATTTAGCAATTGAATTTGGGTTAACTAGCTGGAGAGTAATACAATGGTTTGGGTTGTTATAAGGATTAAATAAGATATGCATGCAGTCCTTAGCAGAATTTCTGACATGTTAATAAATATTAGCTATTAATTATTATCATAACCTTTCCAGAAACCTCAGGCAAATAGTAATTATGAATCATAGATTGCCATAGCAGGAATGTAATTATAAAAACCATCCTGTCTACTGATGATCCAGAGATATGCTTATGTATGTGTGTGTTTGTACATATACTTGTGCTATCAAAATCAGCTTAGGAGTAGGGATGCACGCATATATATATATTTGGGTTTTTTTTGCGGAACTGGGGATTGAACTCAGGACCTTGCTCTTGTGAGCCAGGCAGGGTGCCGCTGAGCTGAATCCCCCGGCCCACATGCATATTTTTGACATACATTTGCAAAGGTATGGACCTAAACAGTGTGGTGTTGAAAGTAGCCACTCTTAACCATCAAATGCAGCTGTGAAGTTTTAGGTGTTCAACCAGAGGGATTATGATTTTTTTTTTCAGTACTGGGGACTGAATCCAAGCCTTCCCACTGAGGTACACCCCAGTACCACCCCCCGTTTAATTTTTCTATTTTGAGACAGGCTCTCACTAAGTCACTAAATTTCTCAGGCCAGGCTTGAACTTGTGATCCTCCTGCCTTGGCCTCCCAGAGAGCTGTGAGTACACGTGTGTGCCACCAAGCCTGGCTGAACCATGGATTCTAAAAAGCTGAAAGGCACTCATCTTGTCCGACCTTCTAATCTGAGAAAAGGGCAAACCAGGGCTAGAGATGGGGAGACCTACCTAAGGTCCCACCCCTCATGTTTGAGCACAGTTGCTTTCAGCTGGGAAATTAGGCAATTCTTGTGCTCTCGGTGTGGGAGGACATCGGAAATGTACTTACTCGGAAAGCTTTGATTCGAAATGGCAGATGGTCTGAGTGGAGAAATGCAGTTCCTGTGTGACACTGCTGCTCTCCTCCCTGAAAAAGCAAAGCCTTATAAAGGGGTCTCAGGCCCAGGGCCTAGCTGTGCCACTGCAGCCTTGGGGAAAGAAAGGAATGGTTTCAGACTTACAGCACAGCTGTGCCCTGACTTATCAGGTCAGCCAAAGTGAGTTTCTGGAACTTTAAATTGTGAGTGGAAAGCCAATCTTCACAGTCTTCCAATGCTGGAGACTGAATCTCACTTCCCTGCAGCTTCTGTGAGAGAGAAGCCAGAATCAGACCAAAAATGGTGGGGAGGAGTTCAAGGATGCCCTTGGGTCCCTCTGCTGGGTACCTGAAGTTGCAACTCAGACAGATCCCACCTAAAGGCAGTTCTGCTCGCTGAGGAAATATTTGCATGTGGAGGCCTGTGCTCTAGATCAGTTGCCTTACAAAGGCCACCCACTCCTCACCTCCAGTGTGTGGCCAGACAACTCAGTGGTTACTCACCTTGCCCTGCCTTGTGACTGAATACACAAACATACCATGGCCACACAATATCACAGTATGACGGTAGAACTCAATAGGATAGTATGACACAATATGACAGTAGCAATTGGCCCAGAATAATTAGGATTTGGTCAAGTGACTGTTAGTTTCCCTATTTTTTTTTTTTTTGTCTCCAAACTCTGGACCAACTGGAGAAAGCCAAATACATCCTCCAAACTGATCACATAAGATGCCTGCTTCTCATGAGCCTCCTCCAAACACCTCCGGTCAAGGCATACCCAAAATCTTACTCCTGTTTCATGTTCCCACTCCACTGCTTGTCTCTAAGTCTCTGCCAAACACAAGTGATGGTCACTAACTCCGGGCTAGAGCAAGCTCTGAATAAATGACGAGTTTGCTCTCACTTGGATAGTCTTTGTTCATTTCCACAATTGTTTTCTTTGTATCTTTTCAGATGACTTCTGCTTCCTATAAACCAAGGGGTCTTCAACAAATATTTGTTGACTAACTGGCAGAAGAAGGAATGGAGTTATTCTGTCCATTCCAGACGTCAGTACTAGGAGCAGTGGGTGAATATTAAGAGCAAGAATTTCCCAGCTATCACAGGACTCTGGCCATGGAATGGATGGTGGCTCTCAGCTTGTACCTGGTGACATCTGTGTCACTTACACAGTACTAAACTCAGGATGTGCAGGGATGCTCTTGGTGGTGGAGCTGAGATCATTCACACAAAACTCAAACTCTACGTTGGAGAGGCTTTCTGGAAGTTGGAAGGTAGAGAGCCTTGATTTGAGACCCTGGGTCTGCTTTGTCTCAATCACATTTCTTCCTTCCTTTTTCCGGTGGGTATTTCTGAGTCATTACTATGAATGACTGTCCTAGCCCTGTTCTGGTGCTAGGGCTACTGTGTGAATAAGATAAGAGGTGTTCTTGCTTTCTTGGAGCTTACCTTCTAGCGTGGGTGGATGGATAGCAAACAAAAAGCAATTTCAGAAAGGAATCGTTCTATTAAGAAAACGGAGCCAGGGATTTAGCTCAGTGGTTCCGCTGCTTGCCTCGCAAACACAAGGACCTGAGTTCGATCCCTGGTACCAAAGAAAACAGAGTAGGGCAAGCTGAGAGAAAGCAATGGGGTGGAGATGGGGAGGCCACTTAGATGGAGTAGTGGGTGGGAGAAAGCCTCTTGGAGCCAAGCCCTGAAGGTGGAGAAGGAGCAGGTCCCGTGCTCAGGAAGGAAATGCACCTTCCAGGCAGAGGTGTGGAGGTGGGGAGGGTCCGAGTGAGTGAAGACCAGAGAGGCAGCCATGTGCTGGAATGGGGAAAGGTGACACGAGAAGATGCTACAGTAATTTCCTGTACAACCACTGCCATTTATGTGGCATGGAAGGGCCCTGTGTGTTGCTATTGCTCCTTTAAGGTATGGAGTCCAGATCAGTCCAACTGTGAGAGATGCCTTGCTGCCCACCAAGTCTGATGGCTATGGAATGAGCCTGAGCGCTGTTTAGCCCCCTGGGATCTGGGTCCAGATTCAAAGATGCCACCTGGGTACTGGCTTGAAGGCTAAGTGGGTTTTCTTTGGGCTTGTGTATGTCAGGACTTTTGCTGTAGTGAATGACTGGTGGGCAAATAGTTGGAAACTGCTGCAGGTGGATGAGTTACTTTACATGGCATAGAGGATATAGAAAGAGGAACACGGGGCCAGGGATTTAGCTCAGTGGTTCCACTGCCTGCCTCGCAAGCACAAGGACCCGAGTTCAATCTCCAGTACAAAAAAAAAAAAAAAAGAAAGAGGAACAGGGTAGAGGAAGAGAGGGAGAGAAGAAGAAAGGCATGCAGTAGTACACAAGGAGTCTCCATGTTAGCTTGTCACACAGCAGCTTCCCCCTTTCCAGAAAACAGCATTGCAAAACTATAGTGTAGAAGGTATGTTTCCGCAGAAACAGCTCTCCACAATGATTCTTATTTCCCACTCATCTTTGGTCATAAAGAGCAGGTCACCATACAGCGAAAATAATAAAAGAATTCTGCTACTATATTCCAGCTGGATAGTATTGCAGCCTTAAAACCTGCTCTGCCCCCCGCCCCCCGCCCCGCCAAAAGGAAATCAGCAAGTGTTAAAAAAGTATAAAAAACCACATTCATAATTATAGCAAACACTTAAATACTCTTACTATATGTCAAACACTTTTCATATCTTAACTCATTTAATTCTACAAAGTAGCTTCCATCTTTATAACCCTATTTTATTGACAAGGAAATGGAGACATAGATAACTTAGTCCTTTGGGGAAGGCCAGGCAGCTAGTAATGAAGTGGGGATTCTGTTCTAAGCTGTTAAGCTGCAGTCAGGTTGTAACACTAAAACTATACCGTCCCTCTGAATTAGCACCAACCTGTGATTATTCCCATGAAAGAATGAAAAAAGACTGACAAGGTGACTCTCATGATATGATTCACGCTGCTCAAAGTCCTGTTTTTGAAAAGCAAGGCCTAAAATCATAGTCCGTGTCCCACACTTGCAAATACCGCTCTATCATACCCCACTAGATGTCACTGTTTTCATCTTTCAGGTCTCTACCATCTCCCTGGTTAGTAGCATGAAGCAGCATAGAAGTATTCACTTCTCCTTTTTTTTTTTTGGTATGGGGGATTGAACTCGGGACTTTGTGCTTGCAAGGCAAGCGCCAGAACCACTGAGCTAAACCCCCGGCCCCTCTACCATTTTTCTTGCATTTAAAACTTGTCATGTTTTAGGACAAAACACTTTTATTTCTGTGCAGATATGTATGTGGATTTTACATTACTCATATTTGAAGAACAATTAACCACATTATAGATTTTGACTGTAGATCCTGCAGTCTGTATACTAAAGCAGGTGCTTTCCTCAGAGAGGGGGAAAACAGCTTTGTTTTGGGCACTCTTTTCCTTCTTTCCCACAGAGCTCTATTTTTGAGAAAAAGGAGGCCCCATCTGTGGCTGATAATGTAAGAGTGGTCCTTTCTACACCTGGTGAGTCATGTATTTTAATATAACATTAGATGGAATAATGACCCATGTCAGCAGCATTTGGAGTCATTGAAAGATTTCTTCAGAATCTCAAAACTCTATCGACCTTTCCTCATTTCCTTTTTAATTAAACTCCTGAAAAGTCAGATATGATTATCTTTCTGATTGCTTAATTGCCAGCATAATAACTGTTTCGTTTTTGACTGATTATCATTTCAAAGGTATCATATTTAAATTCAAGAGTAGATTCAGAAATGCTTATGGGCCTGCCTTGCCCCTGGCAACAAGTGATGGTAATTGTTTTCATGGTAGAATGAATTCAGTTCTCTTGGGAGGATAGCTCGTTACATGTCAAGAGTCAGCCTAAAACCACAGGCTGGTTATTCTACAGGTTGGTTTTCCTGTCATAAACCTCTCATTCCAACAGCAATACCTGAAACAGATTTCTAGGGTTTGATTTTAGGGAATTGTAAAAGAAAAACAAATCTCAGGAAGGGAAAATTTAGACTCAGACTTGAATTAAATGCTTTAGACTTCAGGCTTTAATGACACAGTCAGAATCTTACCATCTTCCTAAATATTTAATGAGGTGGCCAAGTAGGCTATAAATTTTCTATAGATAACATAGAGATTCTTCATTTCTAAAGACAGGAGATTAGGGATGAATGATTAATTAACCTTTTTTATTCATGAATTCTATGTGAAGAAAGAAATACCCAGAATTTAATACATTCTGTATTCCCTGTGTATTATTTTTTTAAGTACTCAGTGAAAGCACTATGGTTTTACCAGTAAGTCCTGCATCTGGTTAACATGAGTAACCAGTAATCCATTGTCTGGATTTTGGCCAACTCCATTCATATCCTTCTGGTTCAGTTGTTTCTGATGTCTGTCAGTGTTTCTCTTCATGCTACAAAACATAAAGTGATTTGATCAATGTCACTGCTCTGGACATTGAGTCTACACTGCCAGTGCCTCCTTTCTTTCCCTTAGTTCCTAAAAGAATTTCAGCAACATTTTATTTTTTTGCAGGAAACTGAGAGGGAGCCTACAGAGCCTTGATAAAATATGGACTCCGTGATCATGAGCCATTGTACTGTCTTTATATTTAGATAATGAAAGCCCTCAGGTAAATGTAAGATGTTACAATGACCATTTCCTCATCTCACTTCAAGGCAGGTGATTTCCTTTCAAATCCTATAAGCAAAATGTAGTTGCTGCTGTTTTCATTTGCAAAATCAGAGAATCATGCTGACCAATGATTTTTCAGAAGCATATACCTTGACCATGAAAGACATGACTAGTTTGTGTAGTCATCAAAATACTCCACACTTCTTTTCCCAAAGAGGAAAAGAATACAAGAGGACAGAGAGACTATGGTGTTGAGGGATTTGTTCAGCTTAACTCTTAATACAACAAATATTTACTGACCACCTACTAAATATAAAGCATTGTGTTTGGCACTGAGCATATCATGGCGAATAAAACAAGGGTTTCTCGGCCTTGGCACATTGGGGCAGTTGGGGGTAGGTAATTCTGTTGGCTGGATGTCCTGTGTATTCTAACATGTTTCGTGGCATCTCTGACCTTTACCTGTTAGATGCCTACAGCAACCCTCCACACTTCATGGCGACAACCCCAAGTCTCTTACTATTGCCAGTGTCCCCTAAGGGGCAAAACTGTCCCCAGTTGCGGATGATTGTGATAGATGTTGTCCTCGTCCTTGCAGAATTGACATTCTAGAGGGAAAGACTGATATCAAAACGCTTACAAACTGTGGCAGGTGCTCTGAAGGCAGAAAAGTACAGTATGGTATGATACCATATGTAGAAAGTCATCAGGAAAAGACCTACTGTGCATAGGTAAGGTATTCAGGGAAGGTCTCTTCTCTTCTGAACTCAGACCTTCTTAAAGCATGAAAAGGAGGCCCAGTTAAGAATATGGTGAAGAGCCAGGTAGAGTGGTACATGCCTGTAATCTCAACACTTGGGAGGCTGAGGCAGGAGGATCGCCATGCCGTGGAGGTCAGCCTGCGCCACACCGTGAGTTCAAGGCCAATATCCACTACAAAGCGAGACTCTGTTTCAAAAAAATAATAATAATAAATATGGTGAAGGCTGGGGTGGTCAGAGGGAACTGCAGTTGCCAAGACTACCCTGAAGTGAGAAAGAGTTTGGCATATCTAAAGAACCAACAGAAAACTGTCTGGCCAGCTTGTAGGGATTTTTAAAAGAGGGAAGAGGAGGAGGGAATATTTTGAGATGAGGGTCAGTTCTTTTCTCTGAGAACTGCATCGGCACTCAAAAGGGTGAGCCCTACAAGTCACAGCTTATTGAATCAGTGGTAGACATGTATCTAAGATGGATCAATGAAACTGTCTCTCTGTGAATTTGAAATTAAGAGCTACAGGGCTACCATGTACATTCAGACACAGAGAAAGAATCTAAGAAAAGCAAAGCAAATGGCCATTCCCCTGCCTCGCTCTCCATGGGCTCTTTCTCGGTGGCTTTTTTCTTTCCTGCCTGCTCCTTGTCTGGCTCGTCCTTCTCTGAGCATTATAGCTTGGTATTTCTCAGGCTAACAGTGCACGACTGTTCTTTTCTCATGTCTCCTCTCTTCCTAGCCAGTTTCACCCATGTCCAAGGCTTCAACTTCCATCTATACACTTGTGTGTCAAGAACCCAGACCTCTTCCTCTGCCTCCAAACCCGGGTATTTATTGGCATTGGATATTTCTACTTGGAGTACCTCAAACTCAACATGTCCAAGACTGAACTCACAATATTCGCCACAAGCCTATCTTCTTTCTCTAGCTTAGGACAACAAACAAACAAAAATGTACCATTTTTCTACTTACATGAGTCAGAACCCAAGAATTGTTCTTGATACTCATTTCTGTTATCTAATCCATCATCCGATCTTGTTAATCTTGCCTTTCTCAAATCTCTCCATTTCTATCTTTACTGACATTTTTCTACTCCAAGTCTTTGTCATTTTTGTCACAGACAACTGCAGTAGACTCTAATTGGCTCCCTGTACCTCTCAGGGCTCCACTTCTCACCAGAGTAATCCTTTAGAAAACAAATACAATGTTATACTCTCATCTTCGCCTTCCTGCTTAAAATTGTTAAAAAGCCTTCCTTTTATTGCTAGAAGGCTAAGATCCTGAAAATGGCGTTTGGGGCCCCACCTGGCTTGGCTGTTGCCCATCTAACCTTTGAAGATTTTCAACCTCACCACTGCCCTTCCCTTCTGTGTCCCGCAAGGATTCCGGAACATTATAGAGTTCTTTTGACCACATGACCTTTCGTGTGCTTGCTGTCTTTGTTCTGAGACATTCTTTTCCCTTCCCAGCACACTACTTATTTCATTCTTGATGTTTCAGTTCAGATGTCACTTATTCCAGAAATTCTTCACCACATTCTATTCTGGTTCAGGTTCATTTTATACAGACTTTTACAGAACTGTGCTCTTCTCATTTAGAGAATTTAAACTTGGAATTTTATTTTAATTAGTATTCATTAGATTTTAAAGAAATGGTATGGTTTATTAAGTTGTAAATTAATATGTGTAGCTCTTGATCTTAAGTTTCTCTACAATATATAACTGTTGTCTATTAACATTCTGCAGGGATTCAACTACTAAAACAACAATGGTTGGTAAGAAATAACAGCCCTCTAACTGTTATACTTTAGAAGTGTTATACTTTATATTTCAAAAGTGCTTGATGTTTTAACTATTATAATAGTTAAGCTCCCTGCTCCTACTGAAATACTTATGTCACTGACCTTCTCTTCTGGGTGTTCAACAACTAAAGTTTGGAGACCAAAACTAAAAAGGTAACTGGGCTAAAAGGACAGCCAATATTTTGGCCCTGGCCCCTCAAGGTCAACAAAGATCCAGGACACAAAGGAACCTTTCCTACAGGATCCTACATCTTTGGTAAGTCACTCAACCGCCTGAGCAAGGAGATTGCTGGGCACCAGAGGAAAAATGCACCATGTACCAAAGGAGGGTCACAAAGAGGGAAAAGTCTCCCATGCTTTCACTGAAAGCAACATGGTCAAGCAAGGCCATGACCCATCCCAATGGCTGACACTGACAGAGGAGCTGAGAAGCTCTATGCATGGTTCCAAAGTACTGCCTGAGGAGACTTAATTGACCTTGATAAACAGCAAGAGGTTCATACTGATTGACACAGGTCTCACTTTAACTTGGTTTTAAACACCCAGCAGAAAAGAATAACCAAAAGAGGTATAAAATAATGCCATAGTAATAAAGCTAGATATAAAAAGGGGCTCCAGTCACTGTCCCCTTCTGGCAGTTTCTAGCTATACCAGTAGCTGACCATGGTTATGGATCATTAGGAAAAAACTATGGTAGAATCTATAAGAGCCAGCAGGTTACAATCACTATTTCAATTCCTATGAGTGACTTTCTTCATAACCTGCCCTTCCATTCTAGTGTGCTCATGCTTAGACTATACATGCTCTAATTTCTTCAAGGTTTTGTATATTCTTGCCTAAAGGCTGCCATACTCTAGTCATACAAATGGAACCACAACAAAAGTGCTAGAATTCTTGTACTGGGATCCACCAGATCGACCTTGTAAACAACTCATAACTGATGATGGATTCTGAAGTTCCCTGGGACTTCTTATCCTCCCTACGGAAGGGTATTACTAGCTCTTCCTGTTGGAAACACCTGTTGGCTATACTCGTAATATTTCTATTGATCTTATTGTTCGGCCCACATATACTTAACTGTCTTTCTGGCCTTGTCTCCTCCAGACTTAAAAGCTATACGCCTACCTACTCATGATGGAAACGCATGATGCCTATTAAGAGCCTTTAGATAGATCTTCTGAAGGGTATCCCCGACTGCCAACCACAACTACAATCCCCTACAACCTGAAGTAGCTCGAGCGGTCATTGCCCCTTGTCCCCTCATGGCAGTTCAGGATAGTTCTTCAGAGGGGGGAATAGGATAGATAGATGAGCTAGGTAGAAATAGACAGGGCTAAGTCCTGGAGAAGGCCAGGACAAAGGTGGAACAAACCACAGCACCACATCACTTAGACTTCCTGGCTGTATGCACAGAGAGGGACAGACCAACCTAAGCCAAGGGGGTTTGCTGGAAGGTTATTGGGGCCTCTTGGTATTGTAGACAGCTAAGTTAGTTATAAATATTACAGCTGGTTATACAGGGCTGGACCTTCTGCACGGAGGAAAATTGTGACCCAAGGCAGATTCACTGAAGGCCAGAATTGAAAAAGGAGAAACCACACACCCTTGTGCTTCCCCCGGGATAAACAGCAGTTATTGATATTCTAAATAGGTATCGTTCACCTGGGTGGGGGGTCAAGGTCTTAACCCAGCCTCTCCAGGAAATATCCCTGCCCCCCACCCTTACTGAAAATCCTTGTACCTTGCTTGATACGTGACTTGCTTCCCAATTGGACACCATTCCCTGAGTTACTGTACGTGTAAGCTTATTGGACGTTCATGGCTGTGGCCCACGTTGTACCCTCGTGGGTCTCACCCTATAAAACTTCTCTGTAAAGCAGGGTCTTTGGCTACCCTTGGGACCCCTCCTCCCCTCAGGAGCTTCCCTATCAATAAATATCTTCCTACTTAAAAAAAAAGTGATGTAAGTTAAGTGAAAGCAGGGATTGGCAGACAAATATTTTGAGGAGGGGCGGTGAAGGGAGAGTAGGAGGTTGAGAACCTGCCTTAGTTCTTGAATTTCTGATTATTTATTTCAGGTACTTATAAGAATTGACTAATTTTCTGCTCTTGGGTTCCATCTGATACCCAGTTTTTTATAATTCCCTACCTTTCTACTTAAGGTAGCTCATTTAGGTTTTTACTTGTAATAAACAATATCCTGGCAAACACAGCAAGTGAGAAACTGAATGAGGTCGCAGCTTAAACATTAATTTACTGTGTTCTTTTATGAAATCATAAACTGGCTTACTTTAATCAGCTTTCCTGGAGACTCTTAAGGCAGTAACTGTTGAAATAGAAATGCCCAGTGAACACTACCCTCCCCCAGTAGTGGCTTGGTGTCCTCTTTCAGAAATTGATTAGTCATTTTTTAAAAAGAATCCAGAGGCCTGTACAACTGGATTCTGGGGTGACTTGTGTGGACTGGAGAGCTTGAACTACACAAAACTACCAAACAACACAGTGTGCTGATGCGTTGAACCATTAGTTTCTTCATCTGTGGTGGAATAAGGAAAATAGTAACTGCTCTGCATATTTCAACTCCATTGTCAAGAGGACCAAATGAAGTTGAGATTGCAGAAATACTATAGAAATGTAGAATATCACAATAAATCAGAATAAAAATGTGTTGCATCTTTAAGAACTTCAGCAAGACACTGTAAGTAAGTAATCATTCCTTCCTGAATATTTATAGAGTGGATTTTAGGGGCCAGAGAGAGGTGGTACTTCAGACAGAGAGATGAACAGGATGCAGCTCTTACCCCTAGGCCTTTGCTCAGAGGAAACCTGATCAGAGTTGTGTTTGAGCACCTAACCCTAAACAGTACCCCCTCCACTCGGCTTCAGTGTTCTCCTCAGCATGTGTCACATCTGACCTTCTATGAAGATATTGCCTGCCCTCTTTGTCCCAACCTAAACACATTAGAAGTGAGATTCTTGAGGGCAGGACTTAGTAATGTTCACTGCTGGAACTCTTACATAAAACAGTGCCTACAACTTAGTTGCTGCTCAAAAAACACTCACTGAATAAATGTACTAAGGGCAGGTTCCGAGTTTAGGGAAGGTGGCCCACACTGTCCTGGGGGAGTGGTTAAGAGAGAGAAAGAGAACATGAAAACTGTCCACTGCAGATGATGTTTTGGTCAAAGTAGGAGAGGGAGCTCTGATTATTGAGTAAAAGAAAGCTAGCTTCTTGGTTTGTTAACATCTAGATCTAGGATTGTCCTAAATCTTGAAAAGCCATCCCCAAGGTTTGTATTTTAAACTGTAGAATGACCTCTAATCTTGTCCATACATAGTCCATGTTGCCAGAATGATTTTTCCAACATGCAGAGCTGTTCCTGTTGCTGTGTTTACAGTCCTGCCATGGCTGCTCCGTGCTCTAGGAAAATCACATTGGATTTTCTTCCTGAAGCCTGTCATTTAGTCAAGATCCATTCCTTTCTGGGCTCTCCTCATCTCTACCCTTCTCTGGTCCCTGGCAACTGCTACTTATATACACCTTCCTACTGCACACCCCTTTTTCTCAAGTTTTTCTTCTAGGAATCCCCTTTGCACCTTTTGCTTGCCAAAACTCAGTAAGCTTTTTTTCTGAATCCGGACCGCTGCCCCCAGATCCCACAGTGGAAACCCCCTGAAAGTCCTCCTTGCTATCCCCTCCTCGTCTATCAAGTTGTCATGGTATCTCCCTAGCCAGCTCCATTACTTCCTCATCTACACTGTACCTAGTACAATGCTTGGCACTGGGGAGCTGATGCTTGAGAGCCCAAATCTCTCTCAATCCAGAGCTTAGCATCCCCCCTCCCCGTAAACCCCTGTGACACTTACCTTAACTTGCATTTGTTCATTTATTTCTCCATCTTTGGGAGAAGGGTCTTGGTACCCAGGGCCCAGCTATTCCTGGTTTCAACTTGCAGTTGCTTCAAGCTCTTCCAAGGAACTCCACAGTGAAGCTTGCCCTTCAGGGAAGTGTTAGCTGGTTTCCAAGGTAACAGACTGCACCACTGCAGCTTAGGGCAGGGAAGGGAAAACCTTGTTCACCCCAGGGAAGAAGTTACTAATGTGTGTTAATAACAACCTCTTCCCTGTCGGTCTGATTTTCTCAACCCTCACAAAAGCCTGAAAGCAGAATTTGGGGCTCTTTTCTATTTTTAGAACCTCTGGGTCAGCACTAAACTATGGTTTAGACCAGCTGAGCCCTGGTGCCTGCTGCCTTCTTGTGGTAAGAAGGGAAGAAAGACAGTGGAGCCTGCAACATGTAGGAAAGGTGGTAACCTTTTCCTCCTTAGACTCCCTAGGGCAGTGACGGTGAACTTTTTAGAGCCTTCAAGATACAAACAGTGCTATGGGTTCGCCACCACTGCCCTAGGGTCTCTTGAACACACTTCGGGGTGTCTAGTTCCAGCCCCTGTCCACACCTGGCTCAAACAGCAGCAAGCCCAGTGACCTCAGCCTCAGGAGAGTTTATCTACTCCAGTGGTTTCTACACCACTTGCTAAGAAAACATAACTTCCATTCTCATCCAGGAGATTGATTCAGAACTGTGGGGAAGTGTGGCAACACGAATCTTCAACAACGGCGTATCGTGATTATGATGTAACAATCCTCCGCCCATGGTTTCCGACCTCCCTAACCCCTTCGTTTACAGAGCTCAGGAGAGATGAAGTGATATCCAACATCAGCCAGCCTTGTGACTAGGGTATCAGGACTTTGTGTTTTTTTAAAGAATCCATCCAGGGTAGTTCTCAAATCAGTGCTCACTTTCTGAATCTTTAGTTTTAGGTTAGAAGATATGTAATTTGTGGCAGTCATTAGATGGTAAAGAACTGGACCCGTCAACCACAGCAGTGGCTCCTATAGGCTAGGTCAGAAATAACCAAACTCCTCAAAAGAGAAATCGCTTATTTTATTTTTTGGTACCGGTGATGGAACTCGGATCCTTGCGCCGCAAGGCAGGCGGCGGAACCACTGAGCTAAATCCCCGGCCCCAAGAAATTGCTTATTAACCTCTAGCTACTATGAGCAGAATATCCATGGGCTGGAAGGCCATATATAAATCTGAGGCAAAAAAAAAAAAAAATCTGAGGCATTTAATATTTCACCAAAATCAACAAGGCAGGATGGGAGTTGAGGGGGTGATCAGAAAGAAGGGAATCACAAGCCACGAATGACCAATTGTGCCCACCTTGATGGAAATCGTGGGTGGAATGGGCTAACTTTGAGATACCGTGTTCTGAGACACGAGGGGCCGCTTCCCCTGCTCCCTGGGTACATAGGATTTCAGTATCTTATAAGACGTAAAACCCAACACTGAAAACTTTGTTACTGCTTTCTTACCTGAGCTTACATGACACACATTCTGGATATTCTGTAGCAGATGGACAAAGCAGAGTAAGATGTTTTCTTATCTTACCAACCAAGAGGAAAGCTGCATGTGGACGCCATCGCTTTTAGCTCCCCTCAGCATGCAGATCATAATCGGCCCAGTGTAAGGAATCAGAGCATAATAGGAATTTCTCTTACCTTAGGTTCTTGGGATATGATTAAAGTTCATTCATCCATGTCTGATCTTTTAATTAGGAGCTCTTACCTGGTAATGTTACACACACACACACACACACACACACACACACACACACACACACACACATATTCCTTTATTTCAAAACAATAAGGAAGTTTTTTGGGGGTCAAGCAGCAGCATGAAATCAACAGCTTTCTTCTGCCTTCGTAAAGCCCTGAACTAACTAAAAGATTCAAGTGGCATGCCAGAGCAGGGGAGGTGAGGAACATGTTTGATGTCAAGAGGAAAGTGGGAGCCTATCAAGATCCTTTCAACTAAAAGACAGAAACTCAACTTAAACTTGTTTAAGGAAAAATGGGAATTTATTTGCTTAAATAACAAAATAATTCAAGGATAGTTCTGGCTTCAGACATGACTTGATCCAGAGTACAATGTTAACAGAATGTGGTGTCCGTTTCGTAGCTTCTTTTCTTCTGTGGAGGCTTGGTTTCTAGGTAGGTTCTTCGGATGTTGCTGGCAAACTTTATAATACACACGGTGCTAAACTTCCCCCACAGCTCAACCCTAATGGAAGATCATTTCTTTCCCAAGAGTTCCAGCAAAGTCCCAAGCTTGGCTTCTTGGTCACATATCATGCTAATTCTCAAACCAGTTGTTATTACCCTGATTGGCCAGGCCCAGCTTCTGTATCCAGCTCTGGAGCCAGGAGGTGAAATCAGCCCCATGAAGCCGTATGGATTGAGGCAGAGCAGGAATTTTCCAAAAGAAAAAGTTTCAGGTTTGTTTTATTAGCCAAAGAAGAGGACACAGATACTAACTAATATGTCTCTGAGAGAAGACAAAGTGGAGGGAGTTTTCTCCTATATGAATGGAGATCGAGGAATTAGAATTAGAGGGTGTTGAAGCCCACTCAGCGTTTGGCACAACACCTTGGTGAGAGAGCAAGACCTAAGAGCAAACAGGTCTTTGGTGCACCCAGAGTCCACTGGTGTAGGCAATCTCAACTTACAAGTTTATCATGCCCCAAGGACAGGATGGAACTCCTGCACCGTGGAATGGATGTCTTAGTAGTAATGTTTAGACTGACGGTAAATGACCGGAGGGTCCGTCCTACTGTATGAGCCATGGGCCTCTGCACAACCTAGTGTAATTCAATAACCAGTAAGTTTCCTACCCACAGGGTGGAAGGGATCTAGTTAATTTTAAGGGCCATGAGAGGAACGTGGGGAGCAGCCAGCCCTATGTGCTCAAATCCTGAAAAATCCCCACAAAAAGAAATTTAAGGACATGTGCTCTACAAAATACCATCAAACAATGACTGCAAAGAGAAAGCTTGACAGTGCGAGAGGAATGATGGAAGATTAAATGCAAATAAGTTTTTCTTACATATTTTTTTACCTTTCAGCGAAGTAGTTAATATTCACAAGTTGTTTCTAAATAGGGACTACCTCTTATGGTTGTGCGCATTCCACACTAACAAGAAGCAAACCAGAGATTTAGTCTCATGTCTGAGCCAAGGAATCATGCAATTGGGACAAGCTATTTTTATTCCTTTAGACTAGCCCAACTGGCAACATGGAACAACAGGAGTCCTCGATCTGCAGTTGGGAAGCCTAGGTTTAAAAATCTTGATTCACCAATTACAAATTATAGAACCTTGGGTAGGCTGTTCACTCTTTTGATCTTAATTTTCTAGTCTATAAAATATCACCTCTTACTGCACAGAGGATTAGGATGACATATGGCAAAGCATAAAACAAACATATTTAAATGTTAGTTTCTCTAGACTTATTGAATACGACTATTAACCACAGTACTTTAAAAAATATAAATTGCCTTAATAGAGTAGTCGATATGCTTTAGTTAGAATGTCAGATTATTTTGATATTTGGGAAGTTTTTGTAATCTAAGAACTAAATTTACAGCAGCATTTGTGATGGCAAAAATTTGGAAACAAGCCAGGTGTGGAGGTTTATGCCTATAATGCCAGCACTCAGGAGGCTGAGGCAGGAGGATTGCCAAGAGTGAGATCAGGATGGGCTACACAGTCAGGTCAAAGCCAGCCTGAACTACACAGTGAGACTCTATCTCAAAAAAACAAGAAAACTAAAAAACAATAAACTGGTAAACAATACCAAAAATGAATGATTTTTCTTTGACTGGTTCTTCAACTCTATTGGCACTGGCCATAGACAACAAGGCAATATCAGGAATGAAAATTTAAATTTTTTAGTTTAAGAGCATATCTGAGTTGTCTTAGACAACTAATATTATTATTATTATTTTTTTGGTACCGGGGATCAAACTCGGGTTCTTGCATTTGTGCAGCAGGCAGTGAAACCACTGAGCTAAATCCCCGGCTTAGACAACTAATATTAACTACTTAAACAACATGAGAAGGGGTGCCAGAGTCAGGACATGGTATTTATTTGACTGGCTCGCCCTGACAGATAATAAATGGGGACTGTTTTAATAGTGAACAAATAAAACTGGCAAAATTCATTAAAGTGGCTCAAAATGGCCAACTGGGGATAACTGCATCTAAAATGAGACCAAATCTTTGAACCTATTCCTTTTAGCAGAAATAATTAAAACATCTTGGCAGGACCAAGTCTTTGCAAAACAGCAATGTACAGGTGCAAGACAGCAAAGAACCCACAAGCTGGAAGAAGCCCCCAGTGTTTTCTTGGGATCAACAGGGTGCTTGCATCATCTTTGTATGAGTAGCAATGTTAGTGCACTATGAATTCAGCAGCAGGAGATGTTGAGTCCATAAGAAAATCCCAAGAGGTCAATGAAATAGACATTATACAGCCAAATACCAATAAAGTAGCCACACTTTATGAAGGCTGATCCAGGGAAGCCTCCGCCTTCAGGAAGAATTTTACTGGAACAATACTGGTAGATAGGTCATTAGGTCTTTCAGATTTCCAGGAAATATGATTGCACACATTTTTATAACCTAGCCCTGAACTTAATTTTGATAATTCAATGTGTATTGTGCCAGGTTCCTCAGGAATACGAGAGCCATATCCTTCCAATCATTTATAATTTAGTTATAAATATTTAGCAATGATAATAGCAGCAACTAACATTTGAATGCTTACTATGTGCCATTATTTCATTCAAAACAAACCTACATGGTAGGTACAATTATTAGCTCCATTCTAGATTAAAAAACAAGGTTCACAGAGTTTAGGCGATTTATTAGGTCCGAGGCTCCTCTGTCAAAGGCACTCTTTCCTATGCTGAGCCCTCTGCTGAGCCCTTGCTGAGAGACTAGGAAAAATTAGTAAGACATTCTGAGGCCTCAATTTCTTCATCTGAAAATGGAAACATGGTGCATGCTCTTTTAGACTTCATCCAACTCTAAAAATTTGAGTCTCATCAAAAGTCTCTTCTTGAAATTTAATTTCAAGTGGTCTTAGTCTGTGATTGGAACTGGGACTGATAAGCAAAAACTTGGAACACTTGAAAAATGTTATTCTACGGTGTTTTTTCTCCTGAGGAAAAGAACCAAACCCTAAAAAAAGTTACACATTCTATCTTTAATGCCATTTATAAATGTACTTTGCTAGGTTAACTATGACCCAAGAGTTGACTTGGCACAAAAGAATACAGTCCTCTTGGCTGGGGATTTAACTCAGTGGTTCTGCCACCTGCCTCGCAAGTGCAAGGTCCCAAGTTCGATCTTCGGTACCAAAAAACAAAAACAAAACAAGAATCCAGTCCTCTAAACTCATAATCTTCCCATACAGTGGCTAGAATAAATAGAAGACTAAGTCAAAAATAAGGTATTTTTAAGCCCACATTATATTAAAACCACTCTGCTGCCACTTCCTAAGGTATTGCCAAAGAAAAGGAAAAAGTCCCCTGCCCTCACAAAGTTCAGTATAAGTCCGCCATTACAATTCACAACTGCTCTATTTGTTAATGTTTATGGGGAGGGGACCTTCAAATACCTCTCATTTGTGCCCAATCAGGGTGAGATTTGGAGGGTGTGAAGACTGAGTGCCCTAAAGACCAGCCTGGCTTGCCTGGAACTTTCCCAGTTATAGCAATGAAAGTCCCAAGTCCTGGGAACCCCTTGGTCTCAGACCAGTCAGCACGGCTGGGAACACTATGAAGAAACCTTCAAGTCCCAGAACCAAGAACACCTAATGTGTACTGGATTTTAACCCCGAAGTCCCTATGAGGATCCTGAAAAGGTCATATAGAGAAACAGCAGCAAGGGACCGGAGATTTAGCTCAGTGGTTCCAGCGACTGCCTTGCAAGCGCAAGGTCCCAAGTTCGATCCCTGGTACAAAAGAAAGAAAAAAAAAGAAACAGCAGCAAAGATGGTTATTAGTTTTTATTAGGCTGGGCTGATACCTCCAGAGAAAGCTATAGCAAAGCTATAAGGGGAGCACAAAGACAAGTCTAAAGAACAAGGGTTTTACCCATATCTTAAGATTTTGGAAGTAAAGATCCTTTGCACCCCCCTGGCCCCTACTGTAAGGCAGAAATAGAAGATTAAAGCAAAGGTGGACCTAGGTCTATATGCAAGGAAGAGAAAGATGGATAGCCTTAGGGGCTGTGGTTCAGTTTAAGCTCATGGACTCATGATGCAGAAGAGTGGCACATAAATGTTTTATTGCTGAGTGAATCTTATTAGTGCACATGGCCTGATCCATACCCTTGAATATTAATGGCATCTCTTCCCTAGGGGTGAGCTAAGAGTGGGAGTGGATGGAGACTGAAACCCCTTTTCAACACAATTCTAACAACAAAACCAATACAAGAGGCATGGAAGTGTTCTTGTGCGAATTATGTGAAACCTCAGTAAGAAATCAATTTGTAAAGTCAAAGCTTATTTCAAAGTAATAGAAGTCTTTTTAGTTTCTTTAGTAGACAATTTATTTTGATAAACTTGCTCAATAACAAAAATACAAGTGAAGAAAATTATGTTCATTTTATACAGCTGTATTAACAATTTGTTTTGAAATTATTAATTGAAAAGTGTTATAACCAATTAGGAAACAATTCTTAATAAAGTTAGGATAATATACAGACCTTGATCACAAACTTTAAAATTTCTTGAGAAGATACAACTAAAAGTTCCGTGTAGGAAGTTCTCCCTACACAGGCCACTTTTTTCCTTCATATATTTTTATCCTTCAAAATTTTTCTGAATGACAGTAGAATTGTGAATGTAAATTTAATTTTTAAAAGATCAAAGTAGGTTGATAAAAGTTACTACAATCAGAGTAACTTGTGGCCAGCAGTCTTTTAACAAAGACAAAATAAATGCAACATGTTCTTCCTATGAAGACCACAATGCAAAATAATAGCTAAGAATATATCCAAAGTTAGTTTTCAATACTTTTTCTCGGCTTTTTCTCTAAGTCAAGAGATTGTCACCAGGACTATTTATTTCACTTAAGAGATTAAACAGTGAATTCATAGAACATCAAGTGGAGATATCAAAGCTTTAGGCAAAAGGGTAAAAAACCAATGAAGTGTTTTGGTCATCTAGAACATTAAAAAGAAAAAGAAAAAAAAGACAACCTTCAAAAACAAAACCAGTGAAACAAGGTAGTCTGTAAGAAGTGGAAGAGTTAGAAAAACTACATACACACATTAACAACATAGAACATGGATTACCTTTGGAAAGAATCATCCTGAAATGTTTGGTTTTAATGAATTGAAGATTTTTCTGTTTACAGATGTTTAGGCATGTTAAAAAGGAGCTTCCAAAAATTTCAAACTAATTCAGTCTTGTGCAAATAAAACCTACAAATAGTTTTCAGCAGATTTTACAGTGATAGTCTTAGGTATGAGAAGAATGCACACTCTAAAAACAACGTACCAGACAAAAGTTTGACAAACGATTGCACCATGAAACAGTGTTTTATATACAGTTTATAAGATATGACTTCCTGCTATAAATTAATACTGTACTATATAGTACTTATAGTGACCTTTTTAAAAGCAACTGCTGACAGTTGGCTATCTTTTCACTTACAAGATTTATAGAAACTTATATGAATGAGTCCATTTCAATGTTTGGTCTGGAAGAGCACAAAGACTTGACCTCACACACTACTAGATGGGATGTCTCAGTCCTGGGTTAGACCGCTGAACGACCAGAGGGACTTTTCCCCTGCCAGTCCTTTACACAATGGACCTCCAAGACAGTGATAAGTAAAGACAATAGGATGGTTCAGGTAACAGATACAAATAAAACCTAAAATTCTGTAATCTTATATGCAATACCACTGTAAGTGAAAGAAGTAAACAGTGGGGAAATTCTTAGCAGCTGAGAAACTTTCTCTCCCCATGCTCATGATCCAGTTAAAAATATTTTGAGAAACTATTTACAATAAAATCCATCTTTTGGAAGAGAAAAGCTCTTGGTCATATCATAAATTAATTTGAACAATACTTTGCAAACACTTTATCTCAGTGGTATAACAGTGATAACCAAAGCTTTCCTTCAGAATGATCTATTTGATTGAGGGTTAATCAAATAACAGGAACTGCAATCCCAAATGTCCACAGAACATATCCGGTGTATTCTTAGAATTGACTAGACATCATAATACTTGGGGGGAGGGGGGATGGTCTTCCTTGGATTTCCCAAAGGTTTTTTTTTTTAAACCCGGGGAAGGAAAAGTATAATATTCCCCTTGAACACTCAAGGAATGCACCATAGGGTAGTTCAAATCCCCCCCTCAACTCCCAGTGAGCTGAAATACGAGGTTTTTACAATGCAACACTGCTGGATTTACATTTATAGTAACATATATGCATATCAAACAAGCCAGTGTGAAACACATCAAGCCCTTCCATTTCATACTATGAATATCTGAGGAGGTAACCCCATCCTGGAAGTATCTATTCTATTTTTTTTTAATTTAGCTTCTTAAAAAACAGTGCATTTACTTCTGTTTGTGTGAAGCATGGGCTACATGGGACTCTACCTCTACTTAGCAATAGGGACATTTGGGTTGCTATTTCACTATTAAGAGAAAAAACTTAGCTCTATTGCCATGAAACACCCTTCTGCCCACATTTTAAACAGGAGATTATCTATAGTGTTCGGCAGAAAAAACAACTAAGCATTGACATGAAGGCATGGAAATGTGGAGAAGAGAAATATTGTACTTTAAAACTACTTGTGAGTTCAAAAGTTAGCTGTAATCTTCTTTTAGGGAAAAACCTAAAAGCTGTGGGTTTAGTACAGCCTTTAACATAAATGCAAAAATGTTAGCTTTTAGTAAACAAAGGCATATAGCACATAAAGAAAATATTGTATTGCTCAAGTATTTGGTAAAGATATATTAATAATGCTGACAGATTAAAAGACTAGAAATTTAATTTTTATGGCAGAATGAAATTAGTATAAATAGCTAAAACAGCCAGATATTTGCTACTGAACTTTGTAGTTATGTAAAGTTGTGTGCTTGAACATATAAAATGCATTATTAATGTTCAGACCCAAGCCAGTAAAAAAAAAAGAATCTCTATACAATAGACAACAGTTGCCAATAATTTAAATAGTGTCAGATTCCCCAAATTATAAGGTTTGACATGATCTTACCTTCTACTATCATATACAAATAAATTAACCCTAGAAAGAATTTTTAGCTTAACTTAAAATTGCACCTAGAAATGTATGGGATTATTTGTACCTATTACAAAAACCTGTTAAAATCAAGGGCTGCTACAAAGAATGAGGTAAACTGAAGACTCTCTCCACTATGCAGCCTTCAGATAAATGGCTTGTTTTCTATTGAGTTCTAGGTTTGCACACCACAGTGTGTTGCTGGCAAAGCATTCAGAATTCTCTTCCAAGAACTGTTTGCATGTGTGCATACATAGATTTACACACACATACACACACACACATATATACACACTATATACGGCATCAGCAAAATATATATATTATATATATTTATATAAATATAAGGAAGATTTCCCCCACCCACCCCAAACAACATGTCTTTAGTGTTTGATTTCTTTTTCCTTGTTTTGTACACAGAAATTGGGAATTTCAGAATTTTTACATATATTTTAGCAAACAAGTTTTGATCTGTTGGCTTCTTGGTACAGTAATGCAATGGCAATTCATTCTGGTGCTAAAAGCTTAAACCGTTACAAGAAAGTTGTAAATACTAATTTCTTGGGAGGTGAGGCCAGCCCCACATGAACTTCTCTTGCATCCCCTCTGGTCCATCATGATTCATAAATACTTAGACTGTTTTTTTATTCCTCAAATGAATTTTTAGACATTAAAAACGGAACAACAGAGTCACAAAGGGCCACATGCTTTTCAGTATAAAGCATCTCCTTCACTAGGTTGCTATCACAGTGCAGACTGACTGCCTGATGTGCTCAGGAGATTTAGTCAATATTGTCTGTATTTGGTTATGAAAAAGGCTTTCCTCATTTTTTTTTTAATCCAAAGTGCATAGTGAGAACAAATCAAAGAATTTTTCTTTTCGACATCAGTTTCATCTAAGCATCTTCCTATGAAAGGATTGCTCAGATGCCTTGTCTTTGTCCTCCCACCCTCTTAAAAAAAAAAAAAAAAAAAAAAGAAAGTCAAGCAGTTTAGACATTCATCAGCCCGGTAAACAAACTTTGCCAGCAAATAGAAGTCCTACTATTGTAAAGAAAATTGATAAGACAAAAAGTACATATGATGACCCAACTACTGTGTTGTTGGGTAATTTATAAGGTTGACCTCCGACTTCATTGATGTAAAATCCTATTGGAAATATTAGGGCAGCCATACAGAAAAGGATCACTGAAAAACAAACCAAAACACAACATTAGTAACATGGTTTGGTGATTAAAAAAACAAAATTTGGCACAAAAGAAGTTTATAGGAGGTGTTGTGGGTCCTGTTAAAACATGGGCCAGCTGTCAAAAATCTGCATATACTACAGGTCACATAGTATTACTGACACTTAACTAAATATAATAAAAGTTGGGTTACCCTGTATATCAGGATCATTCTGAATTATCAGCATTAAGAAAAGTCTCTAAACCTACTAAGTATTCACATACACTATTCATAACCATTTAGTCTAGTAATTAAGGGCCACTGGCTAGAACTAACTCTACATTCTGGTCCTGCTACTTACTAGTCTTCAATTGTAGGTCTCTAACTTCTCTCTGAAAATAGGAGCAATATCAGAGGATAAAATAATTTCGAATCTCTGGCATAGTGCCAGGTTGACAGGACGTGCCGAATGAATGTTGCACACTATTATCATAATAGTTATTATTCTGCCAATTCTCCTTTTGCTATTTTTCAGAAGGAATTAGAAAAAAGGCCTGTAAAAATAAGTATCGTTGGGCTGGGGGTTTAGCTCACTGGTTCTGCCACCTGCCTTGAGAGTGCAAGGTCCTGAGTTCGATCCCCGGTACCAAAAAAAAGAGTATCATTTCTCTTACTCTAAATTAGCTAGTATAAAAAAAATTAGACCTTTGGGATGATTATTAGCAAATTGACAGAGTGGTTTCTCTTATTTCTGTCATGTTTTTGAATATGCAGAGATACTAAAGTGTGGGAGGGTAAGAAAAACTCTTGAGTTTCGTATATGAATACAATAAAATTTATTATTTATTAAAATGTTTCTAGAAAGGTATCAGTGTGGGGGTAGTAATTCCACAGTCTAATGCTTTAGCATTAGACTTCCCTGTGTTACCAAAGAAATGCTCTTCTCAGTAAACAAAAATTACTCAGGTAGGCTAGCTTTTCTAAGAAAGTATTTTTGGTTTTGCATACATATTGTTCAAATGTTCCTAATCCTTCACATTTCTTTGGAGCAAAAATATTCCTTCAGTATAATAAGAAGACAGATTTCTAGTCACTGTATGTAAAGCTTTCCATTATTAATTCAATGAGAAATCTTTTCATAGACTTTTTCTTTTTTTGGTACCGGGGATCGAACTTGGGTCCTTGCGCTTGCGAGGCAAGCAGTGAAACCACTGAGCTAAATCCCCAGCGAGAAATCTTTTCAAATTAAACCTACCTTAGGAATATGGACAGAACCCTGGATAAACACATTAGCTGACACTGCCTGTACATCTTTGTGTATATATTAATCAACAGAATTTAGTATAGGAATCTTTAAAAAGCCAATTAGAAATTCTTTCCTGGATGGAATACCTTCAATAATATATTAAAAAGTAACATTTGCTTAAGTAATACACCACTTAAGAAACATACTAGCGTTCTGCTTTGCACCATTTAGGTCGATTTTATGTTACACAGACATAGATAATATTTCATTTCAGGCAAAATGATTCCATAAAAAATATTACATAAGCAAACTTGGATTCTTTCTGATACCTACTATAGAACAAATGAAAAACTCAGGTATTAAATTTTGTTAGTTTTTGGCCTTTCTGTTGTATAGTCAGCAACAAATAACTTTATGAGCGTTGTCAATACCCACTTATCAGTACTGTCATTAACTTCAATGATTCTTATGGTTTAATACAGTTTGGAGTGTAATATACAACCAAAATCTAGGTAGCTATAGACAATCTAATAAAAAAAAACAAGGAGGATAGGCATGATGGTATAATCCTGTAATCCTAGCACTCCGGGATGCTAAGGCAGAAAGACTGCAAGTTTGAGCCCAGCCTGGGCAACTTAGTGTAACCCTGTCCAAAAAAAATAACAAAGGAGATCGGGATGTAGCTCAGTGCAAAGGGCCTGGGTTCAAATCTTAGTACAAAAACAAAACAACTTTTTCTTAAGGTTGACTAACTCAAGAAACACTTCAATAATTTAGAAGAGAATGCTGAAGAGATACACATTAAATTTGTTCATTCTGTTAACTGGTGTATGTGGGCAACTTTATGTCTTTTCTACTGTAAAATCAAGATCTATCTTTTATAATGAGGTGCTCATTTAGTGACTATAGTTAAAATTTAATATTCTCAAGAGTTAAAAAAATTCCAAATTGTTAGAAAAGCCTCATCAATGTTATGAAAGCAATGAACTCCTATTCATTCTAACATTGATTTTAAATCCTAGGAATTACACTGTCTATACTTCCTGGGAACCAGGTTTAATGGAGGTGGATGAATCTTTCTTTTAAATTATAGAGAACTATGAAGATACATTACTTTAGCTCTTAAAATATTACTAACATTGATATGTATCACCTAAATAAGCTTATAAAGATGTAACTTCATATCCTCCACGGCCCAGGTTATTTGGTGCTAAGAATGAGAAATTAGGTGTACTGGTAGATGAAGCATTAAGACAGAGTAGCAAAGGAAAGAACAGGCTTGGACTGGAAGAAGTGGACTCATTTTCATTTCTTTTGCCCCCACAAGCAAGATTCATCACGTGAGACTCTCTCCTTTGAGACATATTTCCTCAATGTACAAGGCCATTTCAGTTACCCTCAAATTATTATAAAAACCACAGTCTAACTAGAATAGAAATATGTATAATAAAGTACATCTTCAAGGACTGAAAGGAATCATTAGGGAGAGCCCAATTCCTCTCACAACTGCCACCCTAGAAGACTAGCTCTGATAACAAAAATATTTAAGGAAATGAAGAGGAATAAGGCAGCTCTATGCCTATTTAATAAAAATCAACTCTAAGATATATTAAAAAATAAAAGTACAGAATATCAGTACACATTTTAATGA